GTGGCATGTTGGGTTGGTTGCTTGCCGAAGTGGAAAACCGCGCCCCAGTGACGGGGATCACACTCAGCACCCGAGTGGGACGGCTGAGCGAAACACACTCTGACACTTGTATTCAGTTAACTCAATTTCCCGATGGGAAGAAAGGCGAAGAACCGCAGGGCGCAAAGGTCAGTGAAAACAGTATGGTTTAACCTTGTTTGCAGTGGCACTCGAAAAGACGATCGGACACTCAGCGCGGCTGCAAGTCGGCTGTAAGGCTGCGGTGGGCTTGGGGGTGGTAGCATGAAGAACCATTGAACCAACGAACAGCGGCAGGGTGGACCATTGGAGTCAGTGTGTTGGGAGCAGGTACAGGAAGGTGATCAGCCTTCCCTTCCCATCCATGACCGCAGCTTCGTTGCACACGGTAGGTCATGGATGCCGTGTGCCCCTGCGTGTGGAAAGTGGTGGAAAAACGGTGAAAAGAGTGGCGGTGGAAAACCCTTTGTCCAGGGGTGGACACACACACACACACCAGCGCGCGCGCACGCGCATGCGCACGCACCGGGGGGTGATCCATAGGGACGGAGCAACGTTGGATCCGCAGGATGCGCTCCTGGAGCTCCGTGTTGGCGGGCACGTACCTCTATGTCACTGGGCGGGCGCGTTTAGGTGCTGTCGGTGGTTTCGGTGGGTGTGACTCAGTGCTCCTGGAATCCAGCAGACCAGGTTTCTAGAGACCCCCTGACACCTTGGGACCAAACAAGAAACACGGCTGCTTGACCGGAGGGTCGCAAGCGAGTGGATCCCAGATGCCATGCTCTTTCAACGGGGATGGTCATCTCTTGAACGCACGGACGTTGGGCGAAGACTCGGACGTTGGGTGATGCGTGGCTTGTGCCATGATCTATTTTTGGCACAAAGGTGCCCAAAGTGAAGAGTTCGAACCCCTTCTTTACCGGGCCAGGCGGCGTACTATCAGAGTCTATGAAGGGTTCATTTCCAAGCATAGCCTAGCTATTTCGATTGGCTTATTGGACGGATGTCCTTGACGCGTGTCTTTCAATTTGGACATGGGCTGAACACTTCGTGCACTCCTTCTGGTACCTGCACCGCAGTGCGGTCTGCTCCCCATCTTAGGCTCAGCGCTGGCGCGGGCGCACGCCGAACAGCGTGCTGGAGTGGCTGGCTGCGGGGGTGGCCGTGAGCTGGAGTCCCCAGTTGCCACGACGAGAGTTGCGACGACTTCTTCGTCCCGAGATGTCGGTGGCGACGACGGATTGATGCTTTAAGCCGAGGGCTGGAGGGCTGGTCACTGGTGCGGTTTGAGGCCCACTTTGTCCATTTGTTATCCTGGATAGGAGGCAGTGGTCCACAAGGACTTCTTGTCTTGGGGTGAAGCTTTTCGGCTAGAAGTCAAAGGTCATCTTCAATCGCTTCAATCCACAGCTTGCTTTGGGTCTTCCAGCCCCTGACAGCCGTCAGGGTCCAGCGTCACGTGTCGCGTATGACGCGTCACATCCGCCCAGGTCGTCCCTGCGGCGGGAGCGAAGGCTTTCCACTGGGCTTGGCGCTCTCCAGCGCCTTGTGGGGCATGCAGCTCTCAGAGCAGAGGAGGTCGGCCATGTGCTGTGTGAGATACCAGCAGACCTTGAGGGATGTTTACAAAGGTATGCCATTCACATCCACACTTCAAGATCAAAATGCCATCCCCAAATGGGTCTCTTAATAGAAAACTGCCCGCCCCCTATAAAATCAGTCTAGAAACAGGTCTTGTCTCCGTTGTCTCCCCTGAATTTCCAGTTCAACTTGATTCCTGAATGACCCTCGGACGGTTTTCCATGTCGGCGGCGCCGTTTGAGCCATCACTTCCTCAGGGCTCCAAATGGGGGCGAACGGGGATCGTTTTCGGGGTCGGCGTGACCCGGCATCCTTCATGCGTGATCTCCGGTGTTGGGTACCCAACGGGTTGGTGTTCTGGACGGTCGGGGCGGCCAGGGCATCGAGGTTCGAAAGAAGGGCAGAGCATTGGATGGCGACGTCTGCACACACACCAGACGGATCCTCTGGCCACAACCCCGTGACGAGGAGGATCACTTGGTTTGGTTTCACAGATGCTAAAGACTTTACGTAGACTGAAGACAGAAGCAACATGTTCTGGATACAACATTTTGTGCGACACTGCAACACGCGATGCGAGCTGGGATCAGTTTCGGGGTAAAATCTTCGTCATTGCCTTACCTCAGCATGATGATGCAACTGTAATTAGAGAGGATCTTCGATTCACCCTTTGTACTTGTAGCTCTTGGGAATTCACCTACCTGACTGTGGCATGTGGTGTAAGATTACCTGAGCATGGGACATGGTGAAACTCGCCTTTCCTAGCAGCGTTTCGGAGTCACACCTGCATTCAGATCCCATGTTTGCATGATCAAAATGTGCATTGTGGGTCAATTGTGGATGGACTCCGGGATACTCATCACACCTATCACCTATATAATGATATATATATATAAACTATAAACAGGAGCAGGTCCAATGACAGGGAACAGGACATGTTTGCAATCCCTTAACTCCAGCCCGTCCATCTTTGAGCCTCCAACTGCGGCAGTTGGCCAACGCTCGTGCTGGGCTTCCTATTTTTGAACATTGCCCAGTTGCTTCTAGGCTGCGCATAAGGTTCGGAGCTACTTTGTGTTCCGAGCGCCGCTTTGGAAGCTCCACAAGCAACCCACGAACATTGGATTTGAGACCCCCAAGACCAGGCAAGGGGGGTAAAGCCAGCGTAGCAATGCTAGGGTCAGTGAGTCACCAGAGCTGTCGGGGTTTTGGGCAGTAATGTTTCATGGTGATTAGTTGGACAGGTTTTTCTGGATTTCCGAAGACTTGTGTCTGAGACCTGACAGCCAGAGGAATCAAGTTGCCGTCCCATGTGGATGTGAACTTGAGAACCCCAGGCCCTAAGTGCACGAGAGTGGGTGAATCCCAGCATTTTGCCCTCTTCCCCATCACTGGCAAATTAGGACATGGGAGTGGGAGACATGTCCTTTGGAAAGAAAATGCTGGAATGGGGAACACGATCTCCAATGAAACGCTCATCCATTCGAGAACGCCCGGCACATGTGGAACAGTGGCCGACCGCTTCGCAAGTAGCGTCCGAGGTTGCTGCACCTGGCAGGGGATAACACCAGAGCCAAGGTGGGAGTTTTGATGAGTACTGTGCCCGGAAAGGAAGCGTGGCTCAAATGTGGTGAAACAAAGTGAAACATGTATTTCTGGGTGGTTGGGAGTCCTGTTTTTTTACGTCTTGTTTGGACTTGTCATCCGAGTCAGGGGCAATACCAACCCGGAGCGGATCCATGCAAATACATCTCCTTCTCTTGAACATGCCGAAGAATCATCCATGTATGGAATGTACTGGTAGACCTATCTTTGAGCAGTGTCACCTGGTGCTTGTTGAACCGGGAGCTGAAGAGACGGGCGTATCCTTTGGCTCCCCCCCCCAAAACAGCAGAAAGCCGTTCGGAGCAACCCCGCGAGTTTCCTAAATCAGATTCCTAGTTACAGTGATATGAACCTCCTTTGGGGATTGTGCCATCTACTCTCAATCCACGAAAAGGTGTCTATCTTGGGGGGATGACCGTGGCCGCTTCGAACTCGTGCTCCAGTCGTCGGAACTGGAGAATGTTTGGAGAGCTTGATTCATTCCCTTCATGGGTCAGCTTCGAAGCGCCCGTGTTCATGGTGCTTGTGAGTTTTCCTAGATTTTTCCATGACTCAAGATCATAGATCGCTTGGTCAACTCAGTTATCTGCAAGGACAGCTCACTTCAGCTGGTCACGGAAACGCGGGCGCGAACCGCCCGATTTTTCCCGTCTTCACGGTGGTGCGCAGGTGGATCATCGGCTGGAGTGGTGCGCAGCGATCTCGCGTGTCTCTCAGGAGCGAAACATGTCGATTGCAGTGAAAGGGACTGCCCCAGAGAAGAACCGGGATTTTGTTTTGCCTTCATGGGCATGAGGATGGTAGTGCAGTGGTGCATCAGATTCTGATGATTTTTCATGCTCGAGCTCGCACAAAAGTTCAGTATAGAAAGGTCTCTAGCTGTCTTTACATGTCTTTACAATGGGTTTCGCATACACACAGGTCATGTGTTTGTGCGCTTCTGCTGACTGAACCCGCAGAACGCAATGAAAAGTGGGGTCCCTTCCTCATCCCAGTAGTGCAGTTGCTCTTCCATCAACAGCCGTACAGCTGTTCTTTTTTTCCAACTCGTAAGGAGCATGAAGATCCAAAGAAAGCACATGGCGTCTCCCAGATCATCCCAGATCCATCACTCCAGATGAAGAACTATCATTTGGATTCTTGCTCAGTACTCATGATATCTCGTGATCTATGTTCTGCGTTTTTTCGGTGTTTATTGGGTGAGCACAAATTCGCGATGCATCTCGTCTGGGACATGTTTCAACACCCATTTCAAGAATTCGGCCGATGTCTGTTTCCGGTCGTATGGTCGGGAACCGGTCGAACCGTGGAATCTCAGACTTCGGGGCCTTCGGGGCAATTTTCCAACGTGGGAGCGACCTGCTGGCAGAACCAACCTCCAAGCGCCCCTGACGGGCTCCAGGATTCACAGGGTGGAAGTCCCAACGGACCAAGCTGGCACACCGAACTCAACGCCTGGTTGATAGACCATCCTGACCATTCATTGGTTTGACTGTCCAATCACCATCACACATACACACACACACACCTTCACACCATGTTTCGTCGATGTTTGGGAGGAGCCCTGGGTCTTCTCGGCGGCGGTGATCACTGGCACCTTGGGATTTGGCGGTCGATACTTGGGTGGCTTGGCGGCAAGGACTGGAGGCCGGGGGTGCAACATTTGCTGGCTAGTAGTAACAAGTGCCACGCTACTAGTAACAGGTGCATCGCTAGTAGTAACAAGAAGCTATAAAAAACAATAATGTTGAACATCAGTTTGATCAGATACTCCCCTGCAGTGCCCTGCTGATTAACATGGACCGCCAAAACCACTGATTGGAGGACAACAATCTTCCAGGGGACTATTGTAAGGTCAGGGTCCATGTTAGTTTACATGAGTGCAGTTTATCTTGACAAATTGAATGTGTTTCATTACATTGGACACCTGTCGCTGGATTGGTCAGTCAATCATCCACTTCTCGGCTTTTCTTGGCACGTCCAAAGTGTAATTCATGGACTTTCTGTACAATTTATTTTTAAGTATTAACATCATATCTTCATCCTATCAATCATATTGTTTTTATTGTGGGCAATAGAAAGAGTCCCACATAAAAATACAGTAGTGTGTTTTCGTTCATTTTTTCCCCTTTAAGCCTAGCAGTTTCAGTGACCATCGATTCGTTCATCTGTGGCTTAGGCATGGAGCAATTGTTGCAAGTGCCATGAAATGCCATAAGGCTGGGTTTATAGCTTTCATATTTTGCATTCCCCGTCAGACAAAGACGTCCTCGTTGATCCAAACCTGTGATCTCCACACATCGGTCTTGCTGTGCACATGCGTGATCAACATCACATCCCTGCGGCCCAAGCCCCGCCCCACATGGCCACCGACGTCGAGAAGCCTCCAATGTTCTCCACTTCGAGGTCTGCAGGGTCTGGACTTGTCCGTGGGTCGTCCGCCACAGAAGGCGCGGCCCTTGCTGCTGCTCCTGGCGATGCTGCCCATGCTGATGGGCTGGGCGGCACGCAGCAGCGTGGGGGGTCGCTCGGTGGTCGCGTTGGGACCCTCAACATGTACACTCCGCGAGGTGGCTTTCAATCAAGAGTTGATCTATGTTGATCTTGGAATGAGGTTCAACTTCTTTGGAGTTCAATCACTTCAATCTTCAACAGTTGTGTTTGAAGAGTTTGGATAACAATGGTCCAAAGAGGGCTGGCGGGGTCTTGAAATGAGGCTCAGAGTCCATGAAAAGAGTATACTGTATACAGTACTGTATACTGTACACGTCAGTCGACCTAAAACCCCGTACAGAGAAAACCATCCGCGAAAGATTTGCGACGCGGTTCGCGTTTTTTTTTTTTTTTGCGGCGACGGATGTATCGAAGGTCTTCGCTTTCATATGTTTTCCTTTCCACCGACCGACAAGTGGTAGAATACAAGGCGATCCTCCGGCACAGCTGGTGGGCGGAAGTGTCCCCGCATGTCCCCACTGTCACAGACTAACGAACTGAAGCCTCAACGTTTCCTTGCCCACCCTCGCGTAAAGGATTCTCCGATTCCTGTCTCCACTGTCCCAGACTGTCACAGACTGGCAACCTGACAACTTAACTTGTCCTTGCACAGTCCTGACAATGAGGCACCCACCCGCAGCTCTGACAGGTTGTGCAGATGTTTGTGCATGTTCTCCCAGGGAAATTACCAGTGAGACTTCGCGAAAGCTTCGCGAATGTGCCGCTAAATTGAGGCTCCCCCAACATACCCGGCACGAGGATTGGGTTGAGTCGTGCCTGACTCTAAGCCTCCTTAGGATATTGTTTGTCGCACAGATGTCGCGCATGCTGCAAGTGACCCTGAGTAGCTGTGGCAACCCTCAGCCTTGTGCTGGGGTCATGCTGCAACATGTCAGTCCCTATTTTTTAAAACATATAGTTCCAGCTCGTGTTGGCTACACATGGTTCGAGGACATTCCATCATGAAAGAATGTTGATCAAAAACCACACATGCACACACACACATAAGCATATATAGAAATCCAGTGGTTCACACATCTTTTGGAGCTGCACTCACCCCATCCTAAAGAGATGTCTTGGTGCTTTCTGGAGCGAAACAGTACTGTAGCCAGTGGTGAATCATGTGACGCATCAAAGTACACTAATCCTCGTGGCCATTCACATGAAGTTTGCCGACACATCGCCACCACTCATGGATGATCTGCCCTTCTTTGGGAAGTTTGGGGCTGTTTCAATGGTAGCTTGAGACCCCTAAGGCCCTTGGTTCACCTCGGTAGAAGGTCTTTGAATCGATGGTGCCAGTCACAGTCCCTGCAAATGGTCCACGGCGAACCGTGAGACCTCAGGTGAGTCGAGAATCTTAAAGTGGACTCTGGTGTCGCTGAGCCTGGGTTTCAGCTTGTTGCCCAACCAGGAGAATTGAGAAAGAACGAGAAAGGGAGAGACGTTTTCGGAGTCAAAGTCGACAGTTTGATTTTTTGTGGCCCACTTTCAATTTTTTTTTATCATTTTGGATGTTCCCTTTGTTCCCATTTTTCCCTTGGTGTCGACCCCTTCATCAACCCCAACAAAAATCTTTGGACTTTCGAGTGAAGCCGCCCCCTATAAGTATGTATGTGGGTCGAAGATGGGCAAAAGATGTCAAAAGCAAGGACGCCAGGTGGGTCACCCATGGCATCCATTGATTATTGCAGACAACGTCGGTGGTATTCTTTCCATGTTGTGTTTTTTCTCAACAACAAAAGGGGTTGCGAAGACTGGATCGCCCCAGAGATCTTCTTCCAGCAGGTGTTCCCCGTGCCCCGAAAATAACCCTGGAGGAGCCGGATCCGTGCTGGGCACATGAGGACGGATCCTTGTCGGCCATGGCAGTGGGCCGCGCACTGCTATTGCATTTAGAGTGGCCCGGAGAGAACAGGTGGCGGCCATTTTTTCGGGGGTTTGGGGAAGAGGTGCAAAAAACCCAACCTCCTTCGCCCACGGGGCTAATGACTATATATAATTGTAGTGTATGATAGTCTATCCAAAGGTTTTAGATGGTTTTAGCATGTCTAGAACATATTTTTGGTTTTATGTAATCTTAGGATATCTTATAAAGAAGTTTATAATCTTAGGATATCTT